AACAAATATATTATTATGGATCCTGCAGGTTTCTCTGATGTTTAGAAAAAAAAGTGGCTTTGTGCTGATTGATCTTGGGCCCTTCCCTATTACGCCAGCATTTTGTTTGGCCTACTTTGGCCTAAGGAGCAATTCATAAGGTACTTTTCCACGAAAAGAATTTGTAGGATAACTTAACATTGTCCGCCAATTTATTTAACATTTTTGTTGTCAAAAGAATGATTTTGCTCGCTGTTGATGTTCGAGCACTTTTTAAGAACTTTAGGAAAATGCAATTCTCCAAGCTCTCCACATATGTGCTGTCTCTCCATTAGAGTTACACCTTCGAACGCCTTGCAGGTCAGCAGTTAGTTTGCATGGGTTGTACCCAGTCTCTGCTCACGTTATAGCAATGTAAATTACGACGCTTATCATGTTTATAACCTTCGTTTGGTTCTTCTTTGGCTACTTTCCGATTGGGTTGTTCCGAGATTTCACTAACGAAAAAAAGCTAGAGAGGAGCCTGGGAAATGGTTCAACATAGAACACTTTCGCAAACGGCGTGAGAGCCCTAGCTCAGCTTTATGCCTTAAACTCTGACAGAGCACACTTTTCCAACCAGTCCCTCCGTTACTGATTGTGAGTTTATCGCCAGTGATTGTAAAATACGAGGTAAATGCTGTTTATCCGTCGATATTTTTATTCGTTGTATACGGCAGAACTCGTAAAAATATTCAGCGATGCTACTCACCAAAACTTCCAATAAAGTATATGAGCTTAATGAAAATATTTATGAGCCTAAAGTAAATATCTGATCACCAAATTGTCGTTGAACGGTTCTTAGTGATCGTAACAATTTTTTATTTGCAAAAAGTTGTTTGCGTGGACTTTGTAAGGTCTGCCAAAATCACCAACAAGCGAGGAGTTTAATCTTTTTTTTTTTTTTTTTTTTAGTGGATTGGAACAATTAATAGTCACATTTCACAAACATTTGATGGTCGTGTTTTACAAACATTAAACAGTCGCCTTTTACGAACATTTAACAGGCGTATATTACACTTATTTAACGGTCGCGTTTTTACAAACATTTAACAGTCGCATTTTATGAACATTCAGTAGTCGATTTTCGAATTTTACGAACATTTAACGGTCGCTTGCTACGAAAATATAACTGTCGCATTTTACGAACATTAAACGGCCGCTTTTACGAACATTTAGTAGTCGCATTTTAGCAAAATTTAACGGCCGTAATTTTTAAGAAGACTTACAGTCGAATTTTACGAACATTCAATAGTCGCATGTTAGGAACATTTAACGGTAGCTTGCTAAGAACATATAACGGTCGCATTTTACAAACATTAGAAGGTCGCTTTTACAAACATTTAATACTCGCATTTTACGAACATTTAACAGTCACATTTTAAGAACATTAAACAGGCGCTTTTTACCAACATTTAAAGGTCGCATTTTGAGAAAATTTAACATTCGCATTTTACAACAACTTTAAAGTCGTACATTTTAAGAGCATTTATTCCATTAGGCCATTATTTGACCTTAATTACATAAGGGTTGTTTACTGGTACTGTTTTTCATGAGCCGTTTTATCGTAACAACACAAATTTAAAGACCGATAAAGCGCAAAAAAACTGTAAAGCTACAATTATTTCAGGCTAGGTGAAATGAAGATCCAAATCCGTTATATATCCACAAGAACTTAAGCGAATGCGTACGAAAGACTCTTACCTCATCCAAAATGTTCGTATGCCTGTGCACGGAATGTTTGTGTTCCTGTGTGCCAAGTGTTTTAAGGAAACCCACAAAGCTAAAAATTAGGCCTGAAGGGAAACCACACACAGAGATTTTAACCCAATCAATAAAAACTACAGGGTTTGAAACGGATTTGGCCTAATTTAGACTGCATGGCTAACTGCATAATGGATGTGAGCTTGTAAAGTTGTGTGCCGAAACCGCGGGACATCTGAAACGGCTATAGTGGAAGAACGCCATCGTTTTTGAGATTTCTTCGCCGAAATTTTACATTGGTTAAAAACAATTGAATGCCAATCGTCTTCATGGAGTACTTCGAAAGGGATACTTGAGGAAAGATGAAGTAAACAGAATCTTCCCGCAAAATATATAACACAATGAGAAAGTTGATTAAGCGAGTGATAGCGATTGCTGTTTCATTACATAGTAGGGACTTGAGAAAACACGGCGGTCACGGAAACAAAATATTTCTTGGAAAGGCCACTGCAAACGATTTATTCATTTTACAACCTTGTGTACCTTCCAAAGGTTTCCTGAAAAATAAGAATACACAATCCTATCAAAGAATGGAAATTAAGCACGCTGAGTGAGCTTCTGTTTTGATTCAAGTTTTTCAGAATTGTTTTGTTTCGTTAGACAGGGACCGCTGCTTAATAAAAAATGTATGAATTTCATGCAGCTCAGCATTCATTTCAAGTGTAATTGGCAGTAATTTCTCGAAACTTGAATCTTTATCAAAAACTCTTACTTAAAACTCAGATTTTTGTTGTTACTTCATGCCTTTCTGCTTAAACGGAATACCTCAGCTTTTCAACATTTGTGAAGTTTCATCACACTGTTTGAATTTTCGCGTGTGTTATGACAAGTTTTAGGAGACGTTTTGTTATTGGTCGAATGGATGAATAAGGTTAAATTATACAATAAGTAGGTGTCTGAATGCATGGCACGCATCATACTCCAGTTGGCGGTTTTCTCACTTAAATCCCAGCTCCGTTGATCTTCTTTACGGATCTGTCGCGGGCTAAAAATTAACATTGTCATTCTCTGGTTAAACAAAACTGTGAAAATATTCGGTCGACGGCCTAGAAGTCCAGTTTTTCAGTGCTGGATATTTCTAAGAGTTGGGAAACATTGATAATGCGTGAAATTTTCGCGCTTGCCTTTGGATGTGAGATCCAAAACTTGTGACTAAGCGATCAATGGAAGGGAACAGTTTTCTAATTTTATCTTTGTTGTTATTACGTGCTCCGTTAGGAGCATGGCTTCACTGCTCCATGGAAGGAAACAAAGGTAGGAAGTTATACTCTCTTCTATTCCTTAAACCTCAGCCAACTTTTATTCAGAATTGCACTAAATCATCTTTTGGCATAGGGCAGAAATGAAATTCTTAGATGTTTAAAGAAATATTATAGCGTATTTCTTTAAGGCGAAAGACTACGTACTTTTTGAACATTCATGTCTGTATTGACTTTTATTTCAATGCTAACCTTAATCTGCCAACTTTGAAGTCCAAATTAATTTAGAATTTTTTCGCAGTTACTATTTTAAAAAAAATTTTACTTGAATCGTTGATAAGGTCGCCTGCAATTTTAGTTGCAACTAAGAGAAGCAGGAGTATTGATAAAACTTCACGCCAGTCAATGATTTTAGGACAGGTTACGAAAATCGATCAATTTTCAGCTGCTCGCAATGGGGTATTATGCGAAAAAAAAAATAAAAAAAGCAATGACAACTTGATGTTGATGTTTTCAATTTTCTCTGTCAGAGAGGCATTGAATATTTCGTTTATTTTAAAGAAAAATTGATGCCAACCAAAAAGCGATATTTACTTCACTTTTTAAAAAGAATTTTCAATCACTTTGGGGTCTATTGTACAGATATATTTTGCATTGAGTTAGTGGAAATAGGTAGCTTGTTTTGTTGATTAAAAAACTCCCTCTTCCTGCATAAATTTTTTTATACCCATCGAGAAAGATAAATCGTGTCAATTCTTGGTTAACAGAGAAATCATTCTAGCCACTCAAGCATCAGGATCGTTATGTACCATTCAGATTCTTTTAATTTCGTCTGTGATATAGGCGCTTTGGTGATATATGCTCGCAATTCCTGTTACTAATTTTAAAAAAAATTATTGTTACAAAAAGTCAATGACATTTGTCATCATTTATCTTGCAAATCCCTTGCAGACCATGGTTGCCGAAGTCTTATGTTTCTGAAATCCTTTGGAGGACATGCTTTGCAACGCCACGTTTTTAAAGAAATCTATTTAACCATGGGAATTGAGCCATATAGCGACTGCAAAAATAGGTGCCTCATGGAAAATTCTTGTGTGTCCGTGAACATTGGTCCACCTGACAAGAATGGCCTAAGGGTCTGTCAACTGAGTGATTCTGATGACACTCAACATCCTGATGACCTTAAACCCCAAGAAGGATATTTGTATTGGGCGTCAAAGGTGCGGGAAAAAATGGATTTTACCTAATGATGTTTATTTATTTATTTTCGATATTAAAAATATTGCTGAAAATAAATCTGTCCTTGTAGAATATGTGCTCCAGCAAGCCTTGTCCTCAAAATATGATCTGCGTTAATGGATTTACCAACAAGAGATACATTTGCTTAATGTGCAAAGTTGGTTTTATGGGAGAAAGATGTGAACAAGGTAAAAATAGAACTTGCCTTTTCGGTATTTAAGTTAATTCTAATTTTTTTTTGGTCCTCTCTTCTTGTGTACGTTCAGTTGGGAATATAAATCAATAAACTCACACAATCAGTTTTATTAGGAGAATTCACTTTCCATAAATTTGTATATTTGTATTTATTTTTTTCTTTTTGTAATTGCTCCTATAACGTGTATAAATAAGTGTGTCTCATTTTTGTAACAGCTCCAGTGCTCCATGAATCATTTTTTTTAAAGAAGCTTTTAATATATAATTTTTTTCATCATCAAAATGGTTAAAACAAACAAGTGCAGAAATTCTGTAAAAAGAAAAACAAAACAAAACAAAGCAAAAAAACCCTCTCACTACATGGATGCATTCTTCTCCTCTAGGGTTTTCTTTGTAAAGCGCTAGATAGCAGTGGACTGCAGTACGAAAATCTCGTAACCGTGGAATGGGCTAGACTATGTGTCTTTCCACATTACCCAGTTTCTATACCTGGTCCTCTGTGATAACGTGAGTTGTTAGCCATCCCCCTTTGGAATTCAAGAGAGTTATTTCTACTTCAGCGTTTTCTTTCATTCGAAGATAGTTATGCTTGAGCGTCATTTACTATTTTGTTTGTTTGTTTTTTCAGATATAAACGAGTGCATCAGTGATACCGACGGTTGTCATTATAATGCAAGTTGCAACAACACAATTGGCTCTTACACATGCAAATGCAAGCCAGGATTTAGTTGCAGTTAGTATGACAGATGTTTTGATTGTTAATCAGTGCAACGTTTATACAGTACTTGTATAGATTCTGATGGGATTCTCACCAACCAACACCGCCGGTTCATAACCAACAATTCGTGTACGAGTTGATCAAACTATATTTTGAAATAGCTTGCATCATGATATCCTTTTGGAACAAGCCAGATTTTCATGAATATGTTTAACCAAATTTCCAAATGTACAAATTCTGTCATGTTTTCGATTACGACTACTACTACTACGTTCTTAAAGAGTTTCAGAGTAAAAAATTGATTATAATAATAAAAAAAAGGAACAGGCACACAAACAAAAAAACAATGATAGATTACATCAAGATTTTACCTTTCTCAATAGAATTAAACAACGTGTGATATGAAAAAAGGGTTGAAGTAAACTTTGTTTTTATCCCTCAGAATTCCAAGCCGTTTTTACAAATCTCAATGCCACTGGAAGATATGGTCCAACGACGCTGGGCAGTCACTACGCAGGTCAGGACCATGACGGACAAGTTACACTGTCCAGCGGTATTCAACAATGGACTGTGCCGTACACTGGTGACTACAGAATAGAAGCCATCGGAGCAGCAGGAGGATACGATCCAACTCCCAATAGTGCTCAGTACCGAGGAAGAGGAGCAATTATGATCGGAACATTTCGCCTAAACAAGGGTGAAGTCATACAAATAATTGTTGGTCAAGAAGGAGGAATAAACAAGCTGAAGTGGTCCTCTGGAGGTGGTGGAGGTACATTTGTAGTGAGAGGAGCCAATGCACCTTTGATTATAGCTGGAGGCGGGGGAGGTTTACAAAGTGTTAATTCAAGACATGGAGGATGTGACGCCAGCACACAAACAACAGGGAATACTGGATACAAATCATGGCCAGGGGGAAGCAATGGACATGGTGCACAGACTGCTAATAACAGCGCTCATTCAGGTAAAATTATATTGTGATGTTTCCTTACTCTTCATGGTCTTAGCAGCAACTTAATCAACTTGTAAGTTTCTGGTTTCTAAGCAAGATTAGTGCTCATAAGGTGGCAATATCGTTAGTAAGCTAGTTTGTGATTGAGCATGAAAAGATAGGTCACAGTTTTCACCCACTGTCTTTCTAGGCATCAAATACCTTTACATTCCTTAAAGCATCATTTCCTCTGATCTTTCAACATTTTAAAAACCCACAAGAAATTATGAAATTTCGCCTCAACCACAGAATTGAACATTGTTATACATTAAATTATCAACTAGCCTAAGTTGGTATCTTGGGAGTCTTCGGACCAAATGTCATGGCAATCCCAGTAAAGTTTACATACCTTATTAATTCGTTCAAAGAAGGCACATTCACTAAAAAAAGGATTTAGGTTTTTTTGCTTTCCCGACAATTTACGCGTTTGGGTGACCACATGTCAAGTTATATCAACACCGCAAAAACCCAGAATTCCGACTGCCAATAGAAACACTGAGGCGTCCTGTAGAGAATCTCAGCAAGAACATATTCTGCAGGTTACCACCATTAGTTACCTATGACAGACCTTTAGTTCAATTCAGCTGAATGGCAATTTCGATTTCAGATCTTTTTTTTTTTATAATTTTTAACTTAAAAGCGGCTCGGGCACGTCGCGGCAAAACTTAATGGTCGCTGACCGAGTGCGAGCGGCGAAGATTGCTTAAACCGCAAGCCTTTATGTGTTTCGCCACTCCGCTTTTAATTTCTTCTTATGCAGACAGAAAGACTTCTTTTTACTTTCATCTATGGAATCTTTTCCTTTTCATCTATATCTATTCCCATTCTAGTTTTAAACGCAGACATATTGCAAAGATCTCAACGGAAATGTTTACGTGATCGAAATTCAAGGATCAAGAAGTTTTGCCCTGAGAAACCCTTCGGGAGTCATTTATGTTTACATGTTATAATTGGCTATTCACAATTTGGCCGGCTAGCGAATTCAGTTCAAAAATATGCTTTTTTTAATAACTCGCGTGTGTTTTAATATTTTACGTAAATTTTTCTCCGAAACTTTATGTCAAATAACAATGTTTAGTTTTACATGGAAAAAAATTCCGAGAAAATTCCGAAAATATTGGCCCTTGGAGGTCTACCGTATCCTTAGATCAATTTCCATGTATCATTATATTTTTTCCTCAGGTGGAGGTGGTGGTGGCTTTTGTTCAAGTGGAAGAAGTGGAGCGTATTTCAATGGAACCGTGGGGGAGGGTGGAGAGGGTGGTAAGGGATTTCTTCAGGGAGGGGTGGGTGGGAGAACCCGTTACAACGATACCACTGGTGGGTTTGGGGGAGGAGGTGGAGCTTGGGGATGGGCAGGGGGAGGAGGAGGAGGAGGAGGGTACTCTGGGGGAGGTAGTGGTAAAGACCTTCAGGATTCCTGTGGCGGTGGAGGTGGGTCGTTCAATGCTGGAAACAACCAACATAATGATTGTTGTTACAACTCTGCAGGTCATGGTCAGGTGACGATAATATTACAGTAGAGCAAACCAACCATAAGCTACCAAACTACAAAAAAAATTACAGACTGAGATAGTGAATCAGGGCGTTGGACGTTATATTTCTTTAACTTAGACATTAGATCGAGGTTGATTTCGTAGGGAAGTGTTGACTTTTGCCTAAGAGACTATTTCATAGTAACATTAGAACAACTAGCATATCTCAAGCTTCAGCTCGATCTCCTCATTTTCTCTTGATCGAGCATTTCAGTAACAATATGTCATTATGTTGGTTGACCTTCTCTAATTTGCTAGTTGACTCAGTTCGTAAAGCACTGCGCCGGTATCTCAGAGGTCATGGGTTCAAATCCCGCGCAGGCCTGAATTTTTCATGCATCACTTTCAATACTGCTTAGGTAGTGTTCGTTTCTATGAAGACTGCTGTCGTTTTCTTAAAAGGATGTTTGTTTGACAACCATTTTGGGGATTTTCAAATGTCAAAGCCAAAAATGAACTAGATAGTCCTAAGGTGTGTAAACTTTACCGACATTTAGAAAGCAAAGCTGGATATTCCTGAATATTATAATAGAACAAACAACAGGTGTCAGAAAAATATATTATAGAGAGGCAACTATGTCGTTCCGTTACTCAGTTTTACCCATATCCAATATTTTATACCATAGAGAGGCAACTGTGTCGTTCTGTTACTCAATTTTTACTCATATCCATTATGTTATATTACAGAGAGGCAACAATGTTGTTCTGTCACTCAATTTTACTCATATTCATTATGATATATTATAGAGGCAACATGTCGTTCTGCTACTCAATTTTACTCATACCATTATGTTATATCATAGAGAGCCAACTATGTCGCTCGGTTACTCAATTTTACCCATATCCAATATGTTATACCATGGAGAGGCGACAAGCTCGTTCTGTTACTCAATTACACCCATATTCATTATGTTATACCATAGAGCGGCAACTATGTCGTTCTGTTACTCAATTTTTCCCATATCCATTATATTAAAGAGAGGCAACAATGTCGTTCTCTTACTCAGTTTTACCCATATCCACCATGTTATATTATAGAGAGGCAACAATGTCGTTCTGTTACTCAATTTTACCCATATCCATTATATTATATTATAGAGAGGCGACAAGCTCGTTGTTATTCAATTTTACCCATATTCATTATGTTATATTGTAGAGAGGCAACAGTGTTGTTCTGTTACTCAATTTTACCCATATCCATTGTTATGTTATAGAGAGGCGACAAGCTCGTTCGGTTACTCAATTTTTACTGATATTCATTATGTTATATTATAGAGAGGCAACAATGTTGTTCTGTTACTCAATTTTACCCATATCTATTATGTTATATTATAGAGAGGCGACAAGCTCGTTCTGTTACTCGATTTTACCCATATTCATTATGTTATACCATAGAGAGGCAACTATGTCGTTCTGTTACTCAATTTTTACTCATATCCATTATGTTATATTATAGAGAGGCGACAATGTTGTTGTGTTACTCAATTTTCCCCATATTCGTTATTTTATATTATAGAGAGGCAACAATGTCATTCTGTTACTCAGTTTTTCCCATATCCATTATATAATATTAAGGAGAGGCAACAATGTCGTTCTCTTGCTCAGTTTTACCCATATCCACTATGTTATATTATAGAGAGGCGACAAGCTTGTTGTTACTTAATTTACCCATATTCATTATGTTATATTATAGAGAAGGAACAATGTAACTCTGTCACTTAATTTTACCCATATCCATGATTTTGTATTTGTTGCTTCATTGACGATTATCTACGGGCCAGTCATCAAATATCACTCAGGGGGAAGGGGGTGGAATTGGGGAGATCAGGTGGTTTTCAGGGGGAACGGAAGGGGATGTCAGTCGTCACCAACACAGTATAAAGGGAGGGCTACAGAAAATTGACTGGGAATTAACTTCTAATGAATGGTGATAGGTCATTGGAAAATTACTGAGCCTTGAGGGAGGATTGGGTAAATTTGATCGGGATAGAATAAAAATCTTTTAACGCCTCTAAGGGGATAAATAATGACAGTCTTATTTGCACATTTGTAAGTTAATCTACGCACAACTAAGTCAACCATGGAATTTGAAGTTAGTTTACTTGGAAAATAATAATTAAAAAAAAAAGATTCTTGGAGATCAAGTTGACACAGAAAGTGCTTTTAAGTGGCCGTGAGGCACTGTGCCTCGTAACCTAGGGAACTGAATTCCTCACACTTAAGAATGTTTTTGTAAGCGGCTCTCGCGATAGGCGATTTCTTTAATAATTTCGAAGCAACAATGAACTAATACCTTTGGTGTTGATTGCTTTGAGACGTACCCTCTCAGCGTATCTATGAAAAAATATGTTCGGTAAATTTTAGAACATTCTTCTTCGAAGCTTTTAAAACTTAAAAAAAAAAATTCTGCGGAAAAAATCTATCAGAATTTGAATTATGGTAAATAAAAAGAGTACAAGAACAAAAGGAATGACGTTTATCAAGAAAAAATAACTGAGATTGTAGGGAATAATACATGTGGGAAAGTGGAGTCAAAAGAAATAGATAGCAAATGGAAGAAGACAGGAAAAACATTTATTTTATCTTACGTCTGCAGCAAAACAATGTATTATCAGTGTCCTTAAGACGCGAAGTAAAAATACCTCTCTTTTAACTAAGCAGCGCAATTTTAATAGGCGGATTGTTGTCAGATATTTCTCTAACATCATAAAGGTTCCTTTTTGGCCGAGTTTTGAAGACTTCCGACCTCGAACGAAAACCTCGAAATGCATGATTTCAGAGACTGAAAATTGAAGGCAAAACTGTTGTCATTTTGTAGTCCTTTGTTTTGTTATTACCTATGAGGAAATATCCTCCCTTTATTCACTTTTTTGTCTTCTGGAGATGAGAGTACCACGATCGTTACTGTAGAGACTCAGTTAACCAAATTTTCGTTCCAAAAAAAAAAGTCCAACAGAGTTCTCGCAATGTCCTTCAAAAGACATGAGTTTCACATTATGAGATCCATTGATATTTCTTTAGCCCAGACATAATGAAAATAAAATGCTTAGCAACGTCTAAAACTCTCCGAGAGGTAGAACTAGAGTAATCGGATGTTTCATTGATTTCCTTTTTAGATTAATGCCGTATCTTAGCATTTCCATCCACTCTGTTCTTTGTGGGGGAACGTCTAATAGCAAACATCAGTGTGATTGCTGGGACACGTGTGAATATCATTGTTACCCGGCTGAACCATAACTGTGTCAGCGTGAACCTTATTTTAGACAAAATGGAGCAGAAGCACACCACTGTGAACTAAATAACTCAACAGGTAAAGAACATGTGAGGGATCTGGTGAAAGCAGCGAGCTACGTATACCATGGAACGAATGTGCGAGCTATCACTTATCAATGTCAATTCTTTGGCTTTTAGCATTGGATTAGAGCTGAAGGTATATTCTTTATATTTTTATCTAGAAAGGATTATGTATAAATTATGTATTATCTTTAATAAGTGCTTTAAAGGACAGTGCCATTAAGTATCTCTTTTAGATTTAGTTTGAAATAATACTTAACAACTACTCATCTGAGTGGAAATGGCTGGTGGGGGCGAAGTGGCAAGGTAGATATCCATTGCTAGCCACCGACATTGAGGTGAACGGTTGTTTTGGTGCACACTAATATGGCGAGATAGTACACAGAAATATGATTTTAGCTAATTTATTACTGCCATGGTTATACTATTTTCGGGCGCAAATCCTAAGCAAATCAGTAAGAGGTGAATAGAAACGGATATTTGGAGTTTTAGTAGCCAATCAGAGTGTCTACTTATATACTAAAGTTTGTTATGGTTCCCAAAGAACGCTTTAGGCTATTCAGCAAAGCTCTTTATCACCACGATCTTTTACATAAGTGGTCACCTGACTTTTCGAGTGGCGTTTGCACTTCCTCAGAGCAAATGAAAGAAATTTTAGGTAGCACATTTTTGGCTATGTGTGGAAAATGGAGCTAAGTTACTTTATTTTTCCCTACATCAAGGCATGCATGTAGTTCAATAGGATGCAAAACTCTAGGAAAAATCGGCACTCTTAATTTTTCTCACAGTGTCTGATGATCACTGGACAATCAACGAGGCCAACGTCGTAGGTGGTCAGCTTGGCTTCTCTGATGCATGTCAGGCTCATGGTTGTTCTAGACGCGGTCAGGGATCTGGTCCGATCTGGGTGGAATAAGTCATATGCCTAGGGACGGAAGATTGGTTATCTCACTGTAGACGGAATGAATGGGGAGACCACGGCTGTGTCCATCAGGAGGACAGGAGTGTAAATTGTACCATCTGATTAGGCCCCGAAAACAATTTTACATGTAACTTATCATTGTACCCATAAAAGCGTTTCTCTTGACCAGAATTATAACGGTTAATTTACATTTATCGGTATTGCATTGTGCATCCGCACCATGCTTAATTTCCTCAGCGTCTAACTAAGTCACGATGACGAAATTAAGCTTAAAGCCAGTGAGTCACACTGAGTTTTTTAGAGTAAGAATCGAAATGTTTCGAGTGGGATTCATTGCGTTTCTGTCCGTAAAATTTCCTAGTATTTGGTGGAGTGTTTAACATATCTGTGCCCTTCAAACTGCTAATTAACGAAATAAATTTATTGGCTCAATTTATAATTAAAGTCAAAAAGCAAAATTTCTGAAAAATGAATCAAGGGCGTACTTGTGATGATCTTGACCACAAAAAACATCTACAATTCACCATGAATTATGCGCGTGTCATAATCAGGTTGAACTGTATAGACAAAACAAAAATAATCAACGTCAAACGAACAGAAATAAACTCAACGAGAAGTAGAAACTTCTTGGAGTGTGTGTCTTCACTCCCATGTGTTGTTTGAGGTATTATACATTCATAAACAAATTATTCAACTCTGAATAGAGAGTAAATAGGAAGAAAAAGAGGAAAAAAAATACAGTGCTGTCTCATAAAATGTAAGGCAAACTTCATTAGAGCGTCGATCTAACTAACCTTTTGTGTCTAGTTGGAGCCATATATGTTATCCGCCAGCCGGGAGGTCTATAGTGGGAAAAACTGCCAAGTCTTGAGTAACTCCCAAGGCCGTAGGCCGAGTGCGGTGCTCAAGACAGAGGGCACATTTTTTTCCCAATACGGACCGACCTAACCTGGTGAATAACATTTTTATTTTTTTTTTCTAAAACTTCATGAAATTCCCGCCAAAATAACCCAAATAATTTAGGGCTGTAATAACGGCAAGATCCTCATTAAACTGAACTATTTCTAAGAGAGTAAATGGTAGTTAAAACAGAGATAATGCAAGCTAAAGAGATAGACCTCATCGAAATATTTTCATTTGCGTAGCGATAAAGGTGATTTAAAAGGCCTTCAAACAAACTCTGAAACGACGGAGCGTATAAATTCTTGTCTTTTTCTATCAAATAACTCGAGACAAATGAGACACTTTAAGTAGACCCAAGGGGAAGTTAGCGCGGCTTTCGCTCGTTGAATTCATATGGTTTTGGCAATGAAATTTACAGTGCAAATGGTAAATTGAACAGGCCGACTCGAAAAGACTTACCGAAAGTGTATTTGAAGTAGGACTGAAAACTTCGCTACAACGAAAAAATAGTTCAAGAGAATTCAGACATTGAATGAATGAAAGTCTTCGATTAATTCAATTGTCAATAAATATCTCAGTTTTAAATTTCTGAGTTTCATTTTGTGAAGGATTAAAGTTGACTGAAAACTATTTATAGGCCGCGAGTCAACCCATTTAATCACAAATATGCTAATACAAACTAATTTTGAAAAAATGTTCTGCCGGAAATCAAAGAGATTTGAGAATGAGAAAAGAGACGATAAATAAGTTATTAATCGGCTTGATTTGGTAAAAATAACTTGCTTAAAAATAATGCACTGTCGGCAAAACAAAATATATTGATGGAAAATGGTTAGGAAGTTAGAGTTATACTCGGCGACTCACGAAAATTACTGCGCTCGTGGCCAAATATAATGAAAACCCAGACCGCACTAAGAACCAGTCAGATTGCAGGATTCGTTACCGTGCCTTCTGAGAAAAAATTAAATACAAAATCTGCAAATACATTTGATAGTGTTGACATGATATGGATTGTCAAAATAAAATGAATTAAATCAGTAGAGGTGCACTAGATTTCTTGAGTTTTAAACGAAATGGGCGTTTTACAGGAGCTCAAGAACTATCTCAATTACTAAGCGCTTTAAATGTTTAGCAGGTTGTATTCTGCCTCACGGCAAATGGCACGACCAATTGGCGCGCTGAGCTAAGAGGTCTGGGTTCGAGGCATGTCAAGGTCTTTGGAAAGACACTTTGAATAGTCTCAAATACAGTATACGAGTGCCTCTCTCCACCCACCCGTCCCTCTCTCCATAGTTCCTCTCTCCACTCAGGGATATTAGTGAGTGCCGGCGAAGTGTCATGGAGCTCGGGCGAATTAGAGGTAAACTTGGTTCGGATCATCATCCCATCCGGGAAGAAAAGCAATACCTAGGGAACTGGGGTGAGTTTTTAACGAGGTGATTCACTTGGCTATAGTGCTGACTTTTTTCTACTAAAGAATGTCGTAGTAGTCTCTTCCTGAGTTTATCATAGACATTATCCCCAGAGGACTCTTGTTGAGAAGACTTTGCGATATCTCTACAAGACACTTTTTGAGAAGGTTTTACTTCAATTGATGAAGAATCAACATAATGATTACTAACTTTTTAGTTCTTATTTTCGTCTTCATAAGGAATTTTATGGGAGAAACTCGCGATTAAACAGACGTAAAACTCTAAGGTGACACTAAACAAAAAACCGCAATTCTAACATAAAACAAGTCTTAAATAGTCTGCAAAATAAAAGTGAAACAAAAAAAACATATTTTAGAAAAAAAAAGAAAAAACACAAAAAGCAATTTAAAACAAAACAAAAAAAAAACGTCCAAAAAGCAAAAATAAGACTTTCAGTTAAAAAAGTTGAATAAGACTAGTTTTATTTCCGATTAAAAAAATATCAAAGAAAGTAAATATTATAATGCCTTTGTCATTATAAATTAAGCTACGAAACGAATCCACGCCTGTTTATTAAAATGCGATATCACTTTTTTATTAGGTTTCTTTTTAGTCTCTCAAGTAGTCAACTCACAAATGACAAGAAAAAAATTATTGAAACATTTGGATTGATGATCTTGAGATTCACGTAGTTTCACATTCCTTGAGTGCGATTTTTTCACGGAGGGACTACGACGGCAACATAGTTAGTTTGCCTGTCAACCAATATGGGCTGAACACGTGGTGGATACACTAAAGGTCGTCTCTAAAAATTTTAGATGAGAAGAGACAAAAGAAAGGAAATTATGACATTGAAAAGGAGATAGTGCTCTGTAAATATGTATATTGGTAAATATGTGGGTGGGATAGGTTAGGAAGGTACATTTTTTTATGTAATAGGACTATAAAGGGTGTGTGTATATGTAATTACGATCCATCAAAAATTTTTGTTCGCCCGCGATTGATCTAAACGCAACGCCAGACCGAAGATACTCAAGCTAAAACTGGGTGATATCTGAGAGCATCACCCAAGTGATAGTCCCCAATTTTTAAACATAATTTCTATCATGATAGGTATTAGTTTCAAATTTTATTCAAGATTGTATAGGGTTTTGTGGTTGTTACAGAAAAATGGATTTTTTTCCATAAGTCGTACCGGAAATCACTCAAAAGAAAACAACCCACGCTGCATACGGTAAGCTGTTCGTAAGCATTTTTTCCCGGGCGTTGCAAAATCTTTGAAGGATAATGAACACAATAGCCTCTATTTTGTTTGAAAATATGAACTGATATTTGTCCTTGGACATTGTTTGTTCTTGGAAGCTCTTAGTTTTCCTGCAGATCCGCTCTCAGAAAACTGTTCGCATCTTGGAACAGATGATATCCGCGCACAAATATCTGAACATATTTTCGCACAAAATAGAGGTGTTTGTTTACAAAGATCTTTCCGATAAATTTTTGAAGAGGTTTTGAGGCAGGAAAGGAGGTAGTCGATGGGTAGTTAGATAGGCAAGTAAGTCAATAGATAACCAGGTGGGTTACTTAGTGGCTGGATATGAAAATAGACAAGAAGTTAAGCACGTGGGTAAGCAACGAAGGTGGGTAGGTAAGATGAAGGTGGGTAAGTAGAAGGGTAGAGAGGTGGGCGGTTAGGCGAGCACATAGGCAGGTTAGTATGGTGGGTAGGTAGGTAAGCAACGTAGGTAGCTGGGTAGGTAGGATGGAAGGCGGGTTGATGAGTAAGCAAGAGGGTAGGTAGATAGGCGGTTACGTGGGTTCAATCATAGGCAGGTTAGTAAGTAGGTAGGCAGGTTGGTAGGTGAGAAGTTGGGCAGGTAGCGAGTCGAACAGGTAGGTAGTTGAGGACATATGTAGCTAAATAGGGAATGTTTATGTAGGTACTTTTGTAAGTAGATAAGCAGGTTGGTAGATGGACAGGGATTGAGGTAAATAGGTGGGTGAGTATGGAGGTATGTCAGGAAGTAGGTTGGTAGGGAGGTAAGTAGGAAGGTAGGTAAGTATTTAGGTGGGTGGGTGAGTTGGTGAAAAAGTAAATAAGTAGGAAGGTTTGTGGGTAATTAGGTAAAACAGTAGGTAGGTAGGCAGATAACTGAGTCAACGAGGAAGTAGGGCAGTAGGTGGGCAGGCAGGCTGATGGGTGGGTGGGTTGGTAAATAAGTTAGAGGTTGGGAAGGTTGATAGGTAGACAGGTTAGAAGGAAGGAAGGACGGAAGGTAAGTGGGTACATAAGAGTAATGAGGTAATGCAGTTGGACAGGCTAAACAGGCTAGACATTTATTATGATCACTCAAACAAACTCAAATTAAACGTTTCTTTGAATTATTTTACAAACAATACCTCATCTGGGGAGACACAACAACAGCATGTACAAGGCTTCATCAAGCAGCAGCACACAGACGCTGCAATTCCAATGCTAAACTCAAGAGCACCAAGGATTACCATGGTTATACTGAAAGCTCTCAATTCTGTTGTTCCATAGAAGGAGCTGATAAGTAGGCCACTAACGGACGATACTATGGAAAATGCCATAAACAGGGCCGCCTTAAGGAGATAAAATGAAAGGTTCTCTCTTGGTCTATCTCTAGTCAATACTCGACATTTAACGATTGAATTATTCAAAATCTTCACGACGAATAACAAAGAGGATTTGAATTATTTTTTACAATTGTTAGTGAAATGATAGATAGCGTAATTTGTTTTAGCATTGTAATACACAGACTCCAGAATATAACAATGCCTGGTATACGCTCGCAGTCTTTTAAGTAGTAGCAGCATTGTTTATGTATTCACAGTACAATATTGAATGATATCGAATCACCGAATCGGAGGTAAATTTCCATCCAACTCTGAGATTAATAATTGTTTTTACTGAACAAGAAAAAATACAGCTTATTTCAGTCCTTGTACCGAAAAATGATCGGAAACTAAACTCTTGACGTGCGTTTGGCAACTCGGAAGTGAATATTACCTAGCAATGTTCAACTCCAAGCTGGCCAATCAGCCAGCTCAAACGTTTCGAGAACTTGCTTTTAAAATAGCAAGTTCCCAAGCGGTTGTCGGAATTGCGCTATACAAAATCTTAGATGTACATGTACTTACATAGATGTTGGTTGTTGACGTTCTGAACATCTTAGTAGCAGAGATGCCGAGGCCTCCTGTGATACACATCTACGATGGAAGCTTAAGATTAGCATAATGGCATTTTTAAAAATGATGATAATATCGCTTTGTCCCCTTCCCTCCTCGTCGAGCGAGCCAACGTTTGAGAATCGAGCTACACATAAGTGTAGAAGAGGCCTTAACATTCAGTGTTGCGTAATAAGTCATATGAGCAGTAGAGCTCAAAGTTAGACTTTTGCGACTCTTCTTAAATACTCACGCTTTGTTTTTTTCTTTTTAAACGGAAATTTAGCGACCTAACGTAAATATAAATTATAAATGGGTATGAGTCAATCGAATAAAATAAAATTAACTTGATGATTTCATCTAGTAGAGCTTCTGCAACATGAAACGCGTACAAGCGATTTGTTTACCTGCAGATTTATTTTTGTATAAACACGATTATGTACGTGTAAGGCAGTTCGTGTCGATGCTTGCTTTTTCACACATACTTGGTCAAAGTTCAAATGACTTCCGGTTGCACAGAAAAGAGTCATAATAAATGTAAATTGCCCTCAAACTTCGATTGAAAGAAAAGGGACATTTGTTGGAAATAGTTGTTCAGTTTATTTTGAATGCTTGTTTTAATCGCGTAATCTTGAGTAATGGGAAGCAACTTACAGTCTAGCCGGAATATTTTATTTTCTGTTTGTCCATTCAAATCAAAGCCATTCACGTCTATTCTGTAACTTAACTCGCTTGTTTTATTGTGGCTAATGAAAGCTATTAAACGGCCCAACTTTTAGTCTTAGTCTCGTGTGAATGAAGGTAGACAGATAATGTGTACTCGCTAATCAGCATAACTCAAACCACAACACTTTTACACAGTTTCAAATACCAACTTGTATGGACGATTCGAGCAAGTGAGACATTAGGCAATCTATCGAATTAAGTCTCCAGAGCTACATCTTTCAGCGACTTTCAAAATGTTCTAATTCTATCTTAACGCCCGGAATACTCTTGCGATGACTTCAGTGCAAAATTCACTAATATTGCATTGCCACATTCCATCTTACCCAAATGCCGACCCAAATCCCAAAACATGAATAACCAAAATAAGACTCCAGCTGTAATATGTCCACAATGCCAGCAACAATCAGGGCAAACCCAACGAGAATATGTGCAAAGGCAAGACGTTGTCCTTTCGAAGCGATGCTTTGATAGTCATCCATGATTTTGGAGAGCTCGTATTCCGGGAAAAATTTGACTTTGAACCGTTCAAACCGAGCATGTCATGTTATATGCAAATTATGCAAATTAGAATGATGCTTACGAAATGTTCCGCTTCAAAACTAACATATCTATTCATTTTGAAGCAATGACATTTTCCTCACGAATTTCCAGTATTTTCATCAACTTCCTATTTTTTATGAGGATTAAACGATTTGATCTAAAGAAGAGCAGGCAAAATGCCATAACTGTGGCGTATAAAGAAGCACAGTGTAACAGTGTAACGCAATCAAAACTTTTCAACAACAGGGTGACCAACACAAATTGATGTATTTCGCAGAAATAAAGCGGAAGCGGAAAAAACAAATCAATCACACTGTCAGTTCTCGATGACGTACGACGGCTTTAATCCAGTTTTCAATGGATGATAGGAAACGGGGTTGGCATCTATATTTTTCTTCTGGTTCCGTTGGCATGATTTTCCGTCACAAGATTGTATCGTTTTGTGTTTCTAATTGAAACTCCGACTCTGTCCCAAATGAAAACTAGCCTTAAAGGTTTTTGACGTTAAGCTGTTTCTAAGAGATTTTTCCACGTGCCTCGAAAAATTGAAGGATTATAATTTCGGCCATATATAGCCTCTATATGGCTCGAAAATATTCCTAGGTTACCGCTCTTGGACAGCATTGATTTCTCAAAGCGAACAGTTTTCCACGAACCTTGCTTTCGAGACATTGTTCTCTTCTCCGAATGTACAGTATTGGTGGACTGATCATTTCCCCACCAAATTGATACGGCTGACCTCTAAGATGGAGCTGTTTACTTTAAGGCAAATGGCTGTAGGGGGACGGAAAAGACTCCAAAACTCTAGAGACGATAAGGAGAAAGACTTAAGATATACCAACACCAGTGTCACCCAACAGTCTCTGAGAGGTGATCGGCGAGGCCAATTTCTTGAATACCTTGGTCATGTCTGGCAGACCACAATATGTGTTCGTGGTTATACTTAAATAATTGTTGACATACGACGAACAAAATATATGAGAGTTATAAATATGAAGAAAGCTCTGACATTTGCATATCTAAATAACATCTCGGTCTGAATATCTCAATAAAGTTAAGTGAAATATTAATCAACGTATTTGTGATATTTTGCACCCTTCATGGCCGTTTGAAACGTCTTTTTAAGAAATCATTTTTGGCCGGAGGCCGTTAAGAGAAGAAAGGGAGACAAGGGCCGCAAGCTAAAACCGCCTCCACTCCAAACCACTCCAAACCGAAATCAACGCCAAACTACGAAAATCTCTCCTAACTAGGAACGCAAAGAAATTCGAAGCACGCAAGTTGTTTCAAAATTACTATACGATGCAGCAACTTCCCGTGGCAGCCCACTGTGGTTCAAAACCGGTCATGATAAGACGCGGAATGCAGACCGAGCAGTCCGCACTTTGCTCGCTATTGAATTTCAGCTGTTACAGCTTGCGAGACACTAACAAATTCATTCATGACCTATCACGCAATCGACTTCGATAGGTACCCAATTTCACCAGTATTATTATTTTTTTTCATTCTTAGAAACCAAATTACGTTTTCTCACTTAAAAATTTTTATTCTACGCCTAGGTTGACCTAAAATGGAAGGCAAAAAAATCTTTTTTGGGAACTGGTTTGTGACTTAATGATAAGTAGTGATGAACAAATAACGAGCGCCTTTTGAATGCCGCTACATTTCTTGTGCAAGATGGGTTGCGTGCCTTGTTAAACACATTTCTCCTGAACTGTGATTCAACTACTACAACTCAAGTTTGAGCCAGATGAAAGCACTTCGTTTCGCTTCTACAGTTTAAAACAAAACTAGATGCTTCCATGACGGCTCGAAATAAAAGAAATAAAACTTTAATCACTTTCCGGCAGAACATTCTACAAATGTGGGAGAGTCACTGATGTGTATCAACTACAAACTCCAAATACTGTAAAAAAACATTTTAATTTAGGAATAGCGTTTTGCCTCGTTTCTTGATCAAATTAAGAGGTGTGTGCTCAAATTTTTTTGTTTATTTTCCATCTGATGGGAATTCATCATAGCCGGCGTCGACCTTTCAACCGTACCAAATTATTCCGTCAGGCTCCAAGTTCTAAAGAGCAATAAATGCAAACCAACAGTGACATATATTTTCCTATATTTTCGATTTTTGGTAAAATAAATTTAAAAAAAATTAAAAATTACCGATGAAACCTCGAGTCCCGTCTACTGGTTACCTGGAAATTGTCCAATTAATTTTTATTTCACACACGCTCGAAATAACCTTGTCAAGTTTCGTCAGATAAAAAAAAGAAAAAAAACAAAACAAAACAATTTCTTAGTCTGCGCGGTCTGCACGATCCACAGTCTGCGTTTTATCCTGACCAGTCCAAGCACTGGTTGCAAACACTTCTAATTAGATCATCATTTTTTTATCCTACTCCTGAGATCGTTCATTAACTAATATATCACCTGCCTCAAGACATTAATCATATTCTTCCTAAGTTAAACAATTTTTTCATGGCTTAGCATGCGTGTATCAAGGAATGCTTTCTCGGAATCTTGAAAAGCGCAGAGGTTCGCGGCGCAAGGAATAGTTCTTGATATATCCACAATCATTATTCATCACTTGGATGGTTTATTTAGACCCAACATAAAGACCAGCTCCCAGTTGGCTTGTTAGCTCAGTTGGTAGAGCGCTGCATCGGTATCGCAGAGGTCATGGGTTCAAATCCTGAATTCAGTAGTGTTCATAGCTGCCAGGATCTCTTATATTTGAGTCCTTGAGTGTGTATACCGTTCTTTGGAAATTATGATATTTCGATATTTTATCTTTCTACATTTGCAACTCTGCTCTACTCTCGTTCTAGATCCTTCTGAACCACTATCCCTCTTTTTTTTCCTGTAACTGTCACTGAAATTCTACGACGTCAAAAACCGCTTCTTTGTGCATCAGATTGTCGCTGTTTTTCTTTAACTCAATCTTCTGTACATTAAATCAATAGAGTTTATCGTGCCCTCAGAGTAATATATAACCTGAAATATTATGAATTAAATCAAACTAAAGGTAACCAACCTTAATTCCATGGTTTCAAAGCACGAAAAATTATGTCCGCATCAATGATCATTAACCAGGTAATGATGCCCCAGTCACGGTTACCCTTTTCTTTTCTATGCAATCTCGATAATTTATGCGACTCCTACGCAAGGCTAACTGACTACTAAACTGGTGACAGGAGTCATTTTTTCATCATATTTTGCAACTTAATGAGCGATAAAATTCTGGTCTCAATTTGAACGTAAATCGATTTCTTCGGCAGAAATCAAGTAAAGTGGAATGTACCAGTTAAGTTATAAGTGATAACAAGAATTTAATTTTTTTGCCTTAAATATTTGACGACAGGAGACCTTTGGAAATCTTGATTGACAAAGAACCCAGCGATATATCCTTGAATGTGCTTCAGAATATGCAAAAATTATGTAAAGTCATCTTTTTTTGTTATTCTTTCCGCAGGGTGTATATCTCTAATTGCGCATGTTCCGGTGCCCTAAAAAAATAACGAGTAATACTGAACCGCAAAGATCTCTGCGCGACTAACTGCAAGTTCCTTAATTGGCCGTTTCAACCATGTTTTGACCATCCACGAACCAGATTCACGCCTTTTCAGCGAGCTCGTAAGCGTATATTGATTAATTCAAAGCAGCAAATATTTCAACGGCGATCCGTAATGTAATGTTTTTGCTCAAACAAAAAATCAACCTATTGTAAAAAGTTCTTTTATGTCGTGAATTTCTAATTTTTATGAAGACGAACAATACTACGCACCTGCTGCAAATTACTTTCAGTCTATTGGTCCAACTAAGAAAAAAAAAATGGTGACTCCCTACACCCGCAATTAGGAATTGCAATAAACTGCGAATATACACAGTGCATAGAATGAAGTTTTCAGGCATGAATAAGATACTGAATATTAACAAAACTAATAACATTCCGCCTGTCAATCTGCGGATCAAAGCCGCAGATAAAAAGATAAACGTTGTCTTTCTGTCGTCGAGGAAGGTGAATTTCCACAAAGTAAAACTTACAGATCAATCGAAGAGGTGTCAGGGATGTATGGACGGTTGAATGGCAGTACAGTATTGCAATGAATTTGAACCGAAATGGAATTCATGATTAACTTAAAAAAGTAAAATCAACCAACTGGAAATGGCAGTCGATTGCAATACGATCGTTTAGTTAACGGCGATAGATTGATTGTAGAAATCAACCTATTGTAAAAAGTCCTTTTATGTCGTGAATTTCTAACTTTTATGAAGACGAACAGTACTACGCACCTGCTGCAAATTACTTTCAGTCTATAGATCCGACCAAGGAAAAAAAAATGGTGACTCACGTTCCGAACGTTCTACCGAGTATTATGATTTGCATCTAAATCTAGCTAATACTAAAGAGTTTGAAATGCTTGAGGGAAATACCGTTCATGCGCTGCTCCCAAATACAATGTAACGTAACGACAGCTACTGATAACTATCTGTGTACATAGTGGCCTTGACGAGTTGGATGATAAGTGAAACCGAATCCAGAAAAATGTTCAAAACCTTTTTGAGAAGTTGTGCTCTGGGTAAGTACCACCTCTCTTATTTCCTTCAGGTATAACGTAGAAATGAGATCTATAGACTTGACTTTCTACTTGCGAATAGTTTTTATCGATTTTGGGAACTTCCTGTGACACTCAGGCAAAAAAACTGACACAAGAGATTTTTCAGGTGGCAATTATCAAAGAAAACGATGGCGATTCTTCTCTTGGCTGGTGTCATAATGTTTTTCAGTTTCCATACAATGCCAAAATTATTTGTTGATTTAACAGGTATTAGGTTAGGCAGACGCAGAAATTAATGACCCGGCGATTGGAAAAAATTCTTGGACATCTTATGCCTGCTAAAACAAAAATAATAATTCAACGAGCTAGAAACCACTGAATTACTTGACAAAAGTAGAAATAGCAATAGCGTGTTGAAATAAGCCGTAAGGGAATATTAATGAGCGGAAGACACCTGCAAAAAAATTGATCACGTATAACAAGAAATTAGATTATTCTAGAAAATCTCACACAATTTTTAGCAACAGACAAAATATGTAATTACTTGGACAACCGACTATCGTTTGGAGTCGGAGATTGCTTGACCAGTTTTTAATGATTGAAGTTTTATTTTACTAATACATTAGAAAATACTAGTCATTGAAACGTTTTAATATTAACTTTATTGTTGCGGTTTATTAATTCTTGTTTTTACGAAGCCAAACAATACTTAACATCTATTGCCTAGAGCCTTCATTTTAATTAGTCGTTCAATTTAAGAAGAACCAAGTTATGACAACTCACGTCGAGAAAACAGCGTCCTATCGAGATTTACTACGTACTTAGAACTGTGCATGCATCAAAAGAAATTCGAATGTAGAGTTCAAAACGCGTTAAAAAAACATTGCACATGCGCTTTGATAAATGAACCGACGACAACCAAAGCAATAGAAACATTTTACACCATTACCATGTGCACTTCCATAAAATTGGTCATGAAGTTCTTATTTCTATCCAACAAAATAATGCTCCGCATCTGGAGCAAATAGTCCGCGGCTTACTAAGGTACACAAAAAAATACAATTTCAGTGACGCAAAGCGATGAAAACTTATGATATGCAAAACTGTCTACATGGTCCAAGAGAGTTCGAAAGATATGCTGCACATGCGCAGTCTCCGAGAGAAATTTACATCAATCTCTTAACAACAATCGACAGCAACGTATCCATAGTTTGTCTTGATGAATTTGGATGTAGGTGGAATCAAAGCCAAGAAGATGTTCAACGCGCTTTTTATAAGTTGCACGCTAAGTGAGTACCAGCTGTATTATATATCTAATATCAGAATGCTGTAGAAAAGTGGTTTCACAAAACCATGAAAATAGTTTTAGAAAAAAAAATCAGGTTATTTTGTGAGACTAGTTTTGCTTTTCTTAATCTCAATACAATTTAGACTTGAATAAATTAAAAATAATAAGCTAGAATGACAAAATATAACAATTTGAAAGCTGCAGCGGTCACTGTAAACCGTGGTTGTTGGGTTTTAACGGTTTGCACAAGAGTTTTATTTCTGGCAGTGATGTTGAGTATCATACGAACGCAGTCGCTTAGCTGCCATAGTGATCTCGTCTTTCACCGGTAAAGCAGCCTCTCAGATGGTTTTTAATTAACTGGCCGAATATAGGCACTTGGGTTGACTGAAGTTGGCATAAGGTTTGACAGATGAAAGTCTTACCGTTTGAGCTGGGCTGAATCTATAACTTCTAGTGATGGAGGTTTTATCCAGTTTCCTCTCCATTCTTATGATAATTTCTAGGTTTAACCTAACCTAGACCACTGTGATCTATTTGTGGTTCGATACCTAAAGCTTAGTGATAACGAAGTAGTCTTTATGACATCATAATCGTTCATTATTAACTGCAGAATTCTTTCTAATTAACATCTAATATGGCGTCGTTAAGGCCCACTTTTGAATTGTTTAAAGAGAGACTAAATTGAGATGTTCCACGCCAGACATGAAACATCATGAAAAATCATGCCGGTTTCTGAAGAACCCCGAAAGGTGTTGCGTCTACTGTGTCATTTGCGCATAATATTAATTTTGAAGGGCGCCACGTTGATGCACGCGCTATTGAATAATTCGGTTACGCGTGACTAACTGAAATATGACGTGTTCTCTGGAATGTTATTGTAACGTCACTTATTATTTTTTTTTCCTTTTTTGAGACAGATTCTTGGACGCGAAGAACGCAGCGATGATAGGGTTTTCTTAAGCGTACATGCATAGCGAATTTCGCTTAGGCTCCCAAAAAATTTCTAAGTTTAATTCGTACTATTGTGGTGCATGTGTTTGGAAAATGTGAGGATTGAAGAGGTTGTCCCAGCGTCAATTAAGTATTTACTCGTGGGGAGAAGGGGAATAGGGCTTTCCATCTGAAATAATTTTAACAATAAAATCTAGAGATTTCATAGTTACAGTGCCGCTATAGTAAGAATGCATACGCGAGTTAATCTTTCTTGGGATATCCATCCTCATTACGCTTAGTATACTCTACCTGCTAATTTTTGAGTGGCCAAAGACATTGGTCTATACAACTTTTCAATTTGTTTTCTTAGATTTCTTTTCGCTAATATTTTTCTTACTCTAAAATTCCCTATTTGTAACGATGAACGCATCGAATAATTACGGTACACCCCAATATGAATTTAGCTATTGCCGCCAAGTAACTTTTAAGTGTGTGATACTATCACAAAGTTTATGTTAAAAGAATGTGATGTTGCAATGTCACAAGTAACACTGCTTCAACACGTGTAAACAAAACAAACAAAGAAGAAAACCTCAGATTTTTTTAATTTCCTTCTACAGTGTTGCTGACTTTGATAAAGCAATTACATGGATCAGGTGAGAAAATAGATGCTAATTTAAGCCTCTAATAAGCGTGTATTTAACTTCCGGAGAATTTAAGGGAAAAATGATAAAAACCTGAGTGATCTACAAGTATCAAAATAATTACTAGGCTAATCATTTTCGGAGCGCACAAACCACAAGAAGTGTGCCTCAGGCTTTTCATGAAGAAAGAAAAATCATTCTTAATTAATACTATTTAAAAATTTTAAAAAATACCAGCAATAACATTATGAAAGCTGTCGATGGGCTTTGCCAACAAGCCATTCATTTTTCTTAATGGTAAGAGTAGTGTAAAGCAGAAAGACCAGGCACAGAGTCAGTGATTAAAATAAAAATCCAGGAAAGTGCTTCGTATAATTCAGCTTGTGTTTAGCTAAATAGTCACTTTAAAACTCTTTTGTTAAGTTATTCTCATTTTATTTTATTTTTAAATTTTTTTTTTCCCAGAATGCCAAATGTCATGTTTTGAAGATTCCTGTTACATGTTGCAAAACAAAGGACAGAATTGGAACGATAGCAGAAGATTATGTCAATGGCAGGGGGCTAACCTAGTTTCAATTGAAACCGTAAAAGAATGGAACTTTTTAAATGATTTGATTCAAAATCGCAATATTTTGAAGCAGTATAATAAGTGGATCATTGGTTTAGAAAAAAAAGCTGGTAATTCGGGTTTATTTGTTTTATAGCCTGAGGGAAATAGATAGATTTACCTTTTTTAGGATCAGTGGTCGTCGGGTGTGTATATAAGAATCTGCAAGACATACTGCCGAAAAGTCAACCCAACAGGAATGGAACAGGAAGCACAAGGTAACAATATTGTCTTCTTTGTGCTCAAAACACCTGGCCCTGGTTGTTCGAAGGGTGATTAACGTTATCCACTGAATAATTCGCCATCCAGTAGATAGAGCAAAACATTTTGTTAACACTTATCTACTGGATAGCGTCGACTGGCGTTATCTTCCCTACGTAGAGAATATCGGCTAAGATGTGCAAATAGTTTGGTATCGTCACCACCACTACCATTCTTTTAAACCACCATATTTGTGTCACACTCTGGTTCGTTTTCAAATCATTTTGTATACAGATATTTGGGTACCAGAATAATAATGGCAGCAATGGAACCTAAACCAAAAAATTGCTTGGAAATGTCGTCTTGAAGTTCCAAAACATAAAGGTAAGTAAGATTAAGTAACATGAAAGTAAAGAAAGATTATTTGGAATGCGCTGTTTTTCTTTCATCTCACCGCGATGATTTTATTTTCAGATAGAAGAAAGGGTGAAGAATTGCATGTTTTGGAGAGGCTTCAGTGAAAGGTAAAAAATTGCAATCCATCATGTACTTTTCTCAGAATTTTCTTGTTCGTTTGGTCGTCCGTTTGCCTCTATGTTCCCGCCAATATTTTCCGTGAATTTTCTTGGAGTCCAGTTGCTTTTTGGCTGTATTTACGAGTGTCCTCTTATTTTCCAGTTGTCGCGGGAGACACTTTTACCTTGAATTGTTATGTTTCATTATTTCTTCCTTAATTTAACATTAATTTCCCCTCATAATTTGTCCTGATAAGATGATTTTCTCCATTAAAATTATTTTTCCAAGCTGTAATCCTTCTATGTACGCAACTTTTGTCTAAACATTTGGAATACACCCAATCAAAGTTTGAATCTATGTCTAACAAGGAAGTATTGTAAATAACTTCCGCCTTGACTTATTAAAACTAATAATGAACTGCCAATAATGCAATCGATATTATGAAATCAAAAGGGTTTTGATGAAATTCGCTCTTTTAGTACCATGGAAGGCTATTTCCTACACTACGTCTTGTCTGCTGAGGTTATTCTTTCTTTGCAGCTCCGACGGATTTTCAGACGAAGGATGCCATGTAGTTACGTCGAGAAGCAATTCAGAAGAAACAGTTTGTAGCTGCAATCATTTGACTCATTGTGCTGTATTATTTGATTACAACGATGGCACAAAGGTAAGCAATTATATGTATGTTCTTCTTCCAGTACTGGTAATACATATAAATTAATTGAGCTAATTCACGTGTCTCTATTTTCTTTTTTTATGCTATGTGACGCAGCTTTCCAAACAGGACGAGACTGCATTGAAGATAATTACCTACGTAGGATTAAGCTTGTCGATCATGGGGATCCTTGTAACATCAGCCTTGTACTTTTTCTTTACGTAAGTATGGTGGCTAAATAATCGATGAAGTACACATTCTCATGTCTTCTTCTAATTACTATCGATTGTAATTTCTCAACAAAGGAAAAAATTAAGGAATAAACGTAACTTTAAGTTATCCAAAATGTTCCTTTTAATTTTTCCGAAACTAAGGTAAAGTAAGTCGATTAATTAACCAATTTACTTTACATTTCATGTTCAATTAGAAGAGCATTAACAATACATGGTCTCTTTCCTCAGTCCTTAATGTTTTCTTATTCTATACCAACTTGGCTTTTTATTTGCCTTCTGATTCTTAAGCTTTTGATTGACTTTTTTTTGTTGTTGTTTGTTTTGGATTTGTTTGTTTTTCTTTTTTTGCTCAACTTTTCATTTCAATTATTTTTGTTTTGATTATGTTTGTTTGTCTTTTTTTTTACCCATGTCGGGTTTTTGTTTTTGCTTTCTTTTTTCGTCATCTTTCATTTCATCAGTGACGTCCGTCAACCTCTGTCTCAAATTCGATTGAGTCTTTCTGCGTCCCTCGGGGTTGGACAGCTAATTTTTCTCGCAGGAGTACACGCCACGGAACACACGGTGAGAGGCTTCTCCGATCTGTTCATTCAATTAATCAAATCTTTCTGCTTTAAATATTTTCAGAAAAGATCGCAGAAAGACACAAAACATATTTCCTTTCGCAGGCTGCTTGTATCGCAGTAGCAGCTCTGATGCAGCATTTCCTGATGGCTGCCTTTTGCTGGATGCTGGTCGAGGGAGTCTACCTCTACCTGTTCGTTGTGAAAGTTTACAACATTAACACCAAGATGTACATGTATCACGTCATCTCATGGGGTATTTCCATGACTTATTTTACTACAACATGTGTTGGAAATTGAACCGCGCTCTCATATTTGGTGTTGTCATCAAGTCAAGTGCTTTGAATTAATTTTTTTGTATTTATGAGTAGGTCTCCCTATGATCATGATGGCCATTTCACTTGGCATTGCTGCTGCGAAAGAAGGAATACAAAGCTATGTCAGTGATAAATAGTAAGAAACATCAATAGGTTACTTTTTACCTTTCTTCTCTCTCTTGCGCACTATCAAGTTAAGTTCGTTTAATTTTTCTTGTTCCGTTTTTTCTTGGTTTTTTTTTTTTGTATTCATTCTGATGACTTTCTTTCTTGTCATTCAATTTTATTAGTTGTTGGCTGTCTTCGACCAACAATCTGATCTGGATATTCATCTCCTTTGTAACGTTCATCGAAGTTGTGAGTTTATGATTAATTTATTTCACGGTGCTTGGTTTACCGAGCTAGTTACTCACTATTTTTCTATTGGACTCACTATGTTTCTTTGCTCGACCTAAACTAAACAAATAACTTCTATACTAAGATTCTCTTGGCTTCTCGACTACCAAGTATAGAAACTTAATTCAGTGATTTTAATGGCATTTTTAATAGGTCAACATCTTGATACTCGTACGAGACATAATGGAGATGACCAATTTGGTGCAGCCAACAGGTGAAGACGACCATATTCAGCAAATACGGTAGGATTCACAACATGAAATTATTCAAAATAATGAAAACAAATTTCCTTAACAAGCTGTACGTACGGCAACGTTCGCCCGGCTCCCTTATCCCTTGACCAGTTTGCTATTACGATACCTGTTAATGAGACTGGGGAAAAAAATTATCAACCCTTATGCATGCACCTTCAATTTTGTTGTCGATCTCAGAATTGGTATCAAAGCTTGCGCACTGATGATTCCTTTACTGGGTGTCACGTGGCTGTTTGGTCTTCTTTCGCCTATACAAAGGCTTTTGCTTACATTTTCACAATACTCAACTCTACTCAGGTGAGTGTCCGATTGAATTTCTTAAACTCAATCAATCTAGATTGTTCAATTTACACAGCTTTAACCGAAGAGAGAAACCTTTACGATGATTAGATGATACAAAAAAAATTTAAAAAAATTAAAAACCTGTTAACTATTTTCTTGACCCGAAATATATTCGTAGCAGTCTTGTTAGACTTATTAGATATTGATTCATGAAGACGATTATTATATGCATTGTGCACTGAGATACCCAAACAACGCACGCTCCGCCGCTTCCTACCTAAGTGCAATATTGTAAAAAATGATCTTGAAATTATGTTTCTGCAACAGGGTTTCCTGATTTTCGTTCTACACGGCTTACGAAACAGTCAGGTAAGAAAAGAAAACTAAGTCAAGAATAAGGAAAGTGCACATTATAGCACAAATGTTGAAGCATGAATAACTATTTGAATGAAATTTGAAAAAAAATGTATCGTTTGTTGCTTGTCTATCTGCAGATCAGAGAGCGATTGAAAAGAAAGATTAATGTGGTTTTTACCACTTCAAATAAGGAGGTCTCCACAAGGAGGAGCCCACAGGTCAATTCAAGTGACGTCGGCGATGCACGGGCAGTTGAATTGCAGCCTCGCGGTGACGTTAAACCGAATTAGCACTATACTTAAGTCAATGGATTTAACTGTCCGCCAATAACATTCTATTGCATTGAACGATTGTGTAGTAAATAGCGATTAGTCGATGGCGATCGATCTGAGTTTCAATCTGCTGTTAAAATGTAATGTAGTAAAAGTAAATTAACATTAAACACATAATGCATTATGTAAGTCGCTAGTTTTTAGTTAGTAGGACGGGTGTAGAGCTACCGAGTAGAAATACAGTCAATAAATTGTTATAATAATTATTATTGTTATTATTAGTATTATTATTATTATTTTATTATTATTAAGTGAGATTGTTCTCTTGTTTATTGTTTTAGCAACACCAGCTGCAAGTACTATTTTTTATCTTAATGGCCTTTCCAGAACATCGCATACATGAACTTGCTAAAGATCTTTTGTTAGCTACATGCTAAGTTGTCCTCACTAAGGATCAAATTATCGTAACTACAGGTTGGTCTGGCTTGTCTGTTATTAATTGACTTTCATTAAAGATTTAATCTACTTTAGAAGTTCAATGAACTCATGGCATGAAATTATTACAAATTCTTCTTTAATTAACACTGTTTAGTTCCAACACGCATTTAACTGCCTCCTTTCAATCCTCTTGCGCTACATTTTAACGCTTGCTACATGATGCTTTCACGTTTCATATCGTAGAAGATACTTGTCAAACAGTATCTTGTTACTGTAATATTAGCAGTCTCGTCCAACATCTACTGCTATTACTTATGAATAAACAGATGAATAGATAGATGATGCTGAGTTAATGAATAAATAACTATGTTAAAAAAGAAAGAAATTCTAAGAGATTACATCTTTTAACCCTTTCATGCCTAAGATCTCATTTTTAATTCTCCTCACTGTCTGCCATACAATTCTCAGGTGCTACTTCTGAGAATTTGGTACTGGATCAACCAGAAAATCCTCAAACTTAAATTTTTCCTTGTTGTCATAACCTGTCTGATCGATATTGTCTTGATACTGTAAGGAGAAATTCTGTCTTGGTCACTCATGGGAGTTAAAGGATTAAAGATCACTTGAATTTTTCAATCTTTATTCTCCGCATTCCTTAGATAAGTATTTCTATTTCGAATCGTAAACGTATCGATGAGTTCTGATATTTAAAATTGGAGCCATGGTAACCAAAACTGGAGAAAACTTCATTTCAAAGCGATCGAAGAAAAATTGCACACAGGAGACAATTTAAAGGAACGAAGTGCAGTAATGATATGTTAGGTAATTCAATCAGCCCCATTTCTAAACGTCAATACAAGTAAGACATATGCTATTGCATCTCTCCAAATTAATGTGTTTCTTGTTCTTGTGAACACTTCTTGAACAATATTATGGTTTTGACATGTGACTAGAAAAAATAGAATCGGATAAAAATATTATACGTACATTTCTTCGCCTACTTTCAAAGGGGCAAAGAGAAGTGTGCACTATAGGAATTGACGCACTCACAGCGTAGGTTACAACTTAAGTACTATCTTTGCTAAAAAAAAACAAATTGTAAAAATTTATCCTTCAAGCTTTACTTTTTCCTTAATGGGCCTCGAGCACTGCAAAGAGATAAAGGGATATTTGAGTAGTCTTTTTCCAGCTCAGTTTATGCCGCAACGTGATAAGTACGAACGCCTTGCATAAGCTCAGCTAATGTAAACACGACAAAACAATCGACAACATTCTATTATTAGGTCATACCTGTTTAAAAACTAGCATAGAAGGCTACTGACACTACCATACTTCTTCAGAAGAAAGTAATCAAAGGAAATGATTCTGAAATGCATGAAATTATTCCTCTACACCGGTCAAGTGTGATAGGTATAAACGTTTCAAGTGGCGACTGACTCAATGCATTGCGGATGAGACTAAGGACTATTTTAGAATCGTCTTGCAATTATACTATGGGCGAGCACTATAGATGGTGATGAGAGAGGCACTTGAAGAAGGGATTTTCCTCCTCGCAGAACATATGATAACGACTGGGCGTAGACTGGAACTTAGACCTGAATGGAAAAGGTTAGCATTCAAAGAGATGGAGTCAGAAGCGATGGTCTTCATGACGCTTTTACCGTATAAGGGGGGAAGGGTAGGGGGATAGATTTGTTTTGCAAGCTGAAGGCTTGACTGTTAGTCGTGAGGCGCCGTTGGTTTTCTATCCAAATGACGATCAACCCTATTAAAGTTATATTTAACTCACGCTTTAAGAAGACATCCTCTGACTCGGGGTTTTCCACAGTAGAAAATACATGTTAATACATGTGCGAAGAATTAATGAGATACGAGGTTAGACCCATCGACTAATACGGCGGCATTTCATCTGCGAGTTGAAAACAAAGACATTATTTTCGTTTATTTGTACATGTACGAACAGATAGGACACCCACGTTAGCCACTGGTGAATAATACAGAAATCTGTTCAAGACAACTATCGTTAAGTGGAGCTCATAACTTCATTTTTCATAAATGACTTTTTTCTTACTGCATTTTCATAAAATTTGAAAATAATAAAAATGTTTTTGTCTCGTGAAGTTCTCGATCTTATGAAGAAAACCAATGCTTTACACCTGGTGCAAGTTTCTTTCAGTATACTAGTCTAACTGTTGAAAAAAGTGAAAAAAAAATGATGACTCATGTCATGAACTGTCGACCGAGATTTATAATTTGCATTTATTCTAGCTCCTACTAAAGAGTTTTAAATACTTGAAGAAATCGCCTTTTACAATAACTTTCGTCTACCGACAGATGCTCGCAGCAACTTATACATATCTGGGGCTCGATGAAGAGTGAAACTGAATCCTGCAAAATGGCAAAAACCCTTTTAATACGTTGCGCGCTCGGTAAGTATTACCGTTAACATTTCTGTTAGTGTATCTGAAGCTATGAAACACAAGGAATTGACCATCCATTTGCGAAAAATTCATATCGACTTTAGAACTTCCCGCGACACGCCGGCAAATCCAACCTTTAAATTTATTTCATGTTGTGTTTATTAGGCATTCTAAAAACAAAACGTTCCAAGCTCTACAGATATATGCTATAGGCTTCCAGATTATCACATGTTTTTAGCAATAGTTTTCAGGTGTTTATCCACTTTCCGTACGATGCAAAATAATTGGGAAAAAGTGAGCGAGAATGGCACATTCATGCGGCAGTCACTGTAATTTACACCGTCATGGCGGTGTGTCAAGCAGCTTTAAGCAGCTTCAATTAGGATTAAAAGACAAAATATTTCTGTTGCTATCCTTTGCGCAAAACGGCCTATGAAAACGTTCTCTTTCAAATTTTTTTTATAATTTTTTTTCCTAGCGTGCGAATGTTATAAATTGGTTCAACTTGAATTCCTAAAAGGTTAAACAGATGCAAAGTTAATCGACAGTTTGACGCAGGGTTTGGAGAAAATTAGAGTAGTAGATGTTTTATCCACCATCCCACCTCAAATATCTTACCTATGTTTTTATTGTGACTTTGAGTCAATTCATAACTTAGTGGACTGCTTCCATTCTTTCCTAACGCTGAAACATCATTTCCAGCTACCTAGATCGATAAACGATGACATAGATTTTTTTGATGTAGATTTTGTAACAAAAAATTAAAACAGTTCGGGCCATAACCATTTCTGGATATCGGTTTCGAGCTTTGTGATTGGGTGAGATCAAAACCAAAACAAAGCAAATTTGGCCGAGAGGTGCTGGAAACAAGAAGAAGCTGATTTTTTTTTTGTTTTTTTTTTTGTGGCGGCCATGTTGTAATGCGGTAGAAAGCTGAAACAAAATTCGCTAATAAGGACTGGACATAAGATACCATTAAAAATATTCGTTTATTTCAAACATTCAACATGCATGTCCTCGACATTCTCGCATTCTGGAAGAGTAAAGCGGATTCTTTTTAGCACAAATTCTTTGTAACGCTGTGGTCCTTCCACCAAGAGCGTCACAGGAATTAAAGCTCCTCCGCCAGCCTGTTTGTATCTGGAGAACTTCTGGGTAGAGCTTGGCCTCGATGTTACTGTCCGTTCTCTGTTGATTTCCCTATTTTGGGTTACAAGAAAACCAATCAAATAAGATTGAACCAAATAACGCGCAGTGATAACAATTGGGACGAGTGAGGTGTGAGATCGCGGAATCGGGACAATTTAATTTCCCTCCAGTATAGGTCGAGGAAAGACAATATCTTGCTTCTCTCCGATTTTTAAATAGACATTATCAATTTCAGTCCATCAAGCCTTTACGAAAAAGTAACAGTAAAGCAAGAAAACAGTAACTTACCCTTCAACTCCTGGTTATTTTGCCACATCGAAGCAAAGCATGCAGCTGTATGTTTAGAAAGTGCTGAACCGTGCCGATCTGCTGCCCTTTGACATCTCCTAAAGTGTATGTCTTTCTCTGCGATTTGCTGAAAATCTGGACTTCTCGTAGAGCCTCTGGAATGCGTTCCATTTCTCGTGGAAGAGGATAAGTCAGTGCATGCGAGTCATACGTGTTGTCGTCTTCACTTTGAATAACAAGCGGTGTTCCACGTGGAGCTTTGATCTTGAAATTATGATACCTGGAAAATAAACGCCAATAAATACATGAGTGGGATAAAATAAAATCAAGTAGTCACAATCTATATTAAGACCAATACACATGATCGAATTCAATGCAAGAGAATCATACAAGGTATTTTGCGCGCTATTGAT